TTGTTGAAGCCCTAAAAGACAGCAGTCTTTCTACAGAACTTCGATATCGCCTAGTACCTACATGGGTTGTGGACCTCCACAGCCCATGTAGGTACTGATGGCGATGATGGCAGTCGCTCTGCGTAAAAAATCGGAGACGACTTTAAGCCGACCCCAACCTAATGGAAAAATGCTCGGAGAAAGAAGAATATTAGTTTCTTGCAATATTTTAAAAGTTTTCTACTTAATTAAAGGACAATATACAAAGGCAACACTGGCCTAGCGACTGTCCAGCTGTCGCAAATCGAACGTTATTCGAATTTTAAATATTATTTACTCATTTGCTCAGTTGTACACCAGGCTGTGTGCGAGACGCACGTGCCCGCAGCTTAGCGACTATTGGCACAGTTGGTAGCAAGTCTTTTACTTATTATATAATATTGTTTTCGAACAAAACATACGTGTTGGTATTGTTTTTAGATTTTTAAATTTACATTCCTTTGTTATGACAACTCAATATATTTTTAAACGAATTACTTAGGTATATTGTGGAAATTATATTGTACATTGTGTCAAAAGAAGCTGTGTATCAATTATATTTCTTCAACAAGCACTATGTTTCTACAGGCGACTACGAAAACAAATTATCATTTAAAAAAAACTATATTATCTGTTGGTCTAGTGGTTAGTGACCCTGACTGCTAAACCGGAGGTCGTGGGTTCGATTCCCACCCAGGACAAATATTGTGTGATGAGCACGGTCATTTGTTCTGTGCCTGGGTGTAGTTTATCTATAATATGTATCTATTTAAAACTATATAAGTATGTTTATCAGCAGTCTGATTACCGTAGTACAGGTTCTGCCTAGTTTTTTATGATGTTATTATTATTTAACTTTCGCAATGTTATTATTGTTTAAATTGACTTAATGAATTAAACAGTGATTTTAATTTAATTTGATTCTTTTACTTCTAATTTGTGCAATAATAATCAGATCAATAATAAATTATTCTTTGTGAATGATATGTGATATTCTTGTTGAAGATCCATCAATAAAATAAATAAAAATAAATACATCTTTGCTTGTTCAAAACTGTCAAAACTTGTAACGTCATCGAGTGAAGACAACGAAACTATGTAATATATACTGGTTTAGTATATCTATATATATATAAGAGATTTCCACGTGTATAGTCACTCATCACGATATCTCTGGAACCATTAGAGCTAAAGACTTGAAATTTGGTAGGAATATTCTTTTCACCGAGTAGAGGTCAGCTAAGAACGGATTTTAAGAAATTCAAAAAATTTTTTTTTTTTTTAAATAATGTAAATAGCAAAACAACGTTTGCAGGGTCAGCTAGTATTACATAGTTTCGTTGTCTTCTGGCTCGCGCAATAACATTTTTGGCGCCAATTTGTGTGTTTATGTCTCGATATCAACTCTTTTGAAACTGATTGGCTGATTTATCATAACTTTTTTTTAAAGTATTATTAAAGTGAACCTTTTTTTACATCGCCTCAATTTTTTTCGTCCATCTATCGCGTGTCGCATTACAGCCTGACGCGAAGTAGGGGTAAAGTGAAAGGAGCCGCCAAGGCCAATATGGCGGCGTTTGCATCAGCTGACTGATCCGAAAAGAGTTTCACTCGGATCGCGGTTTCATAAAAACGCGACACTTTTTTTTCTTGGGACAGCCATGCTTCGGAACGAATGGGCGGGCTCGACCAGAAGTCCTGGTATTACTAAAGTCAGGGTGGACAATGGATCTAATAATGAATAATTTATGGGCCAGAAGACCTTATTATAAACATTTCTTAACCATTCAGCACTGAAGGAAGCATCTCTTTATGTAGTCACACATCATCACACTCATCACATCAATAGACTTTAGTAGTCCACTGCTGAATAATAGGCCTCTTCTTAGATAGAAGGTTTTGGCCATAGTAGGCCACCCACGGCCCACCAAGACACAGACGATCGACTGATCTCAAATTAGGCAGAGCTTGTACTATGATAACCAGACTTCGTTACATAAATTATAACTTCGTTTTTAAGGAGAGGCCTATGTCCAGCAGTGGACTACTAAAGGCTGTTGAGGATAATGATGAAAGATCTAATGATGATGCCCATTTCATCATCAGTACAGCGTGTGAGCGACTTGCGTTGAGCGACTACTTGTGATCCATAGATAGCAATACACAATTTCATTACCTATTTTTTTTTAATTACAGTCGCAATCAACCCCTGGCCTAATCGCCAGTTGCGGACACACAGCAGCAGATCCATATGTTTTATCCGAAGACCGCTGCACGAGCCCTTAGCCGTCAGGGTCACTAACGGCTAGGCCAGTTGAATAGAATTGAAAATGAGGTTTTTTTTTAAAGTTAATGCTGTATCGTTAACTTTTTCCGCTATAGGAAAACAAGACAGCCTATTCGACGGGGATTTTTTCTGATTAATTACAAATTATTATAGTAAGTTTTATATTTAGTCCACTTTAAGAGATACGAAAATTTCGCTTTTTATCTTCGATATAATATCGAACTTTGGCGACTAAGTTCTTCTGAGAACAGATTTATGCCTAATATTCAAAGTCAAAATAAATGCCTATTTATCAGTAAGCAAATAACAGTTGTATCGCCAGCGTGTTATAATGGGCCATAACCTTATTTCTAAGGAGAGGCCTATGTCCAGCAGTGGACTATGCTTTTGATGATAATGATCGTAAAATAAACGTCATTTAAAGAAATTATCCATAGGATATCAGTTAGTGTTGTAAAAGACTCGAGTCCTAAGTCTCGAATAAATAGGACTTGAGTTGGTTTTTGGCTAGACTCAGAAATCACAGCCTAAGTCATTTTAATTTTTCTGTATTTTGCAAAAAGTAAATCTTTTTTAAAAGGGTCTTGGGTCTTTTTTTGTGTAGTATGTGACAATGAAGCGACACAGTCACTAAAATCTATACAATGGAGCAATTAAAAAAAACTGACACTGAAAGGGCGTTGCTAATCGTTTAGAATCTCTTTACAATAATTAAATATTCATTGAACTGTTTACGATTGTCTATGGTTCGATTATATTTTTTTCGTTGTTTATGCCGCCATTAAACTTTTAATTTATGATATTTCGGAATAGGCCTATAATTTTGTGTTTTCAAAGGATGTAAATAATAAATAAACATTAAAGTCTAAACACGTTCGGTTTTGTAGCTACTAAAAAGTAAAATCCATCAAATGACACAAATCTATATTTATATACACTCATGACAAATCATAATCATTAACAGCGTTTATAGTACTCTGATGGACATAGACCTCTCCTTTCAAAGGAGGTTTTGCCCTACTATACCACGCTGGCCAAACGGGTTGGTATAAGGTTTGTTTCAAGTTTTCCTTCTCTTTGCAATGCTGTTGTTCTGCGTAGTTTGCTCACGAGATGAATAGGAGTGGTGTATCTCCGTATTCTTAATCCGTCACCACACGGAAAGGACAAATCGGTAGGTGTCATTATATTAGTTTGTATGTGTTCAGTAATATTTATTTAAAAGTATTTATCAGTGGCCTGGTTATCATTGTGCAGGCTCTGCCTACTTTGGAATCAAATATGGTGTGTCAAGTTATTATTTTTATAACTAAGGACATAGCTTAAATCCTACCGTTTATTTTAAACGTCTGTAGAGGTAACGTAGCTAGTCTACGCCGTAGCCAAGAAGCTAGAATCAAACAATTTACGATAATAAGATAAAATATTTTCTTATCGCTTTTTATAACCCAATACGGTACCATCTGACGCCCAACATTTGACTGCTCAGATGGCGTAGGGTCACCTCGGCGCTTCCTACTGCGCTGTTTGTTGTGGGTTCGATCCCCATATGGGGTTGATCCACAAATTGATGCTCTGAGTCTGGGTGTTCTTTGTGTCCGTTTTATGAATATTAGTAACGTCCAATATATATTCCAATTCCAAGAGTTGTATTTCCAAAAAAAACTCTCGCAAATCAAACGGCACGCTTTCCTATCTTCCTGTAACAAGCTTCCGACCCTTTCAAAATATTGTAAATAAATAATATTTAATTATATGATGGATTTACTCGTCATCATCATCAACGGCCTCTAATAGTTCACTGCTGCACATAGGCCTCTCCTTAGAAAGGAGGCTTTGGCCTCCTATACCACGCTGTCCAGACGGGTTGGTATAGGGGTTGTTTCCAATTTTCCTTCTCTTTGCAGTGAAGTTGTCCTGCAGAGTTTGCTACCTTAATCGGCTCTTCCGATACCTACGGAATGAATTGGGGTGGTGACACTCTGTATTCTTAATCCGTCATCACACAGAAAAGTCTAGGTAGTTTTTAATTATAGTCTAATAAGTATTTCACCCACACGAACACACTAGATTTATTCATCCATAACATTTTTCTCGTCCAGATCGCAATGGAAATCAGCAAGCCTTGGCAATAAAACACCAATGTTGTGTAATTAAAACGCCATCAGGCGAGCACGCGCGCGCCACCCGGCACGGACGTGACGTCACGAAGCGACGCCATTTGCATTTTTTCGTCAACCGCGAGCGCGTGGTGCGTTAGTGTTAAGTTTTATTATACATATAACGTTCCTATTCATATGTATGTATGGTTGGTACAGGGTTTGTGTCAAGTTTTCCTTCTTTTTGCAGTACTGGTTGTCCTACGTTAGCTCCCTTAGTAGCCTCTTACGACATCCACGGGATGAATAGGGGTAGTGACACTCCGTATTCTTAATCCGTCACCACACGGACGGACGGAAGTAAGGAGTAAGTTTACACTTTAGTAGATTTTTATGTAACAACTGACCAAGTTATTTAATAAAATAAGTATTCTGTTTCCTTGCACTTGACTTAAGAGTCATACTTCGCTAGAAAGTTATTCCAAAGTTAATTAAAAGTACGAGCATAAAATTGAAGTTGTAATAACTGCATTTTTCAAGATGTCGCTGTGTTTATTTTTTGTTAAAATGAGTTGCAATCGGGGACAAGAATGAAGATGGTAAGTCTGTTTTGCCATGTATGTCTCTCTGTTAACATCTAAGTTTAGAAACAATAAATAAATGTTTTGCAATACAACGTTTGCCGGGTCAGCTAGTTTTTTATCCTTTTTTTAATAAACGAGCAGTTAGATCACCTTATGGTAAGTGACCACTGCTGCCCGTCACCCTTAGAGTCCACCCCCCCTAGAATCAAAGAGAGGGAGGTTTGGAGTCGGTTCCTTTTCCGGTTTTTCTGGTATCTCTCCAGGCGGCCCATTTGTGCTGAAGCCTGGATCTCCCACGTTTAGGTTGTCCGTTTGTCCGAAATACCAAAAGACTAAATATAAATAAATTATAACCCTTAACATTTTCAGACACCAAAATTATCCGCCCTTGTCCTCATATTTACACCAGCATCAGTATTCGCCCAATTCTCTGGAGACTCCCTCCGACCAGATGTCACCTTCAACGATTACAATGATAGGTTCGATCTCACATCCATGATACAAGACTCAAATAGAATGTATCAACAAGACCCTCAAGCTCCAGAAGACGAAGAAAGTAGAAGAAGTTTGAAGAGTAATGAGGAACAAAACGGTGTTCTAGAATTTCTGACTGCTGATAAACCAAGAAAATCAGCTCGAAGGTCTGATAATGATTTTGCTTATCATGATAGAATGGATAGCAACGAAGGTGGAACAGTGATGGAGTATGAACAGAATCTCAAGCATTTTATGAATGATGATAATTTGAAAAGCTTCATAAGAAGTAGGAGAATGAGTGAAGATAGAATGAAAAACTATGTACAGAGTGAGAAACTTAATGCATATATTAAATATCTTCACAACGGTAGAGAAGAAGGAAGAAGAAGAGACGGTTCTGGTAACGAAAAGGATTTGTTGATGCATTACGGTGTTCCTTTTGTGATGCATGTAGATGGTTATCTTAAAGTACCCTTAAATTAATTAAATCAGTTGTAAATAATTTAAATAAAGTAAAAATGTTTCTAATAGTTTACTATACATATAAAGGGGGATGCCAGGCCACCATAGTGCTTTAGGCCCTGAGTGCCCATATGTGAAAATGGATGCAAATATTTCTTTGACTGATTAATAATTTATTCACAAAAGAAAAGATAACACAAAACTTAGGGTTTCATAAATGTCAAGGATTTTTTTTTATGTGCCCTTACACTAGTGCAATAAAGTTCTTGGAAACCCTTCCTGTATACATATATCTAGTTAATATTGTATTTATAATCCATCCAGCTATTTAATATTAATTATTATCGAGAAACACGCACAAATCACGATGATGCAAAGGCAAACATAGTAATGATAAATTGACAACTGGGTAGCTGTCAGTTTGATTGGAGTTTTAAAATAATAATAGTATAGTTGCCATTAAATAAACTAAATATCGTATTATCGATCGACGCAAAAAGTAGATCGGTATTTCATATGCTCATTGTCAATGTATTATTTATAATTATAATACAATAGAATTTTAAAATACTCAAATATGTGTATAAATAAAGTACAAGTAAGTAAAAATGCTCAAAATGAATATTTTGTCAAAATACTAGTTGATTTTTTTACGAAATGCTGGCAACCCAGCAAATGCAAATGTCAGTGTATTAAGATACAATTGTTTGTGTTATTTAAGTTGCCGAGAGATTGTCTCTGGTGTGTTGAAGCGACAGTAGTGAGTTTTTAGGTTATTTTCTGAATTTTGGCATATAATTTCATATTGTGCTTTCGTAATAGTGTTTGTGTGGTTCTGTGGCAGGAATAATCCTTAACAAGGTTAGTGAATATTAAGAACCGCGCTCATTTCTACGGAAATGAGCGCGGAAGACCCCCCTGATGGGGGCGGTGTGTTACCCCCCGATAAACCCAAAGCTATAAAGCGACAATCGGACTCAGTCTTTCCCGTTGACTTCGATGGAAAGAAAATACGTTCACCAGCTGAATCGATTCAGTCAATTTTCTCAAAACCTGGATTTGAGTCTGATTCCAGGCTCGAATACTCGGTATCAGACAAGGGTCCATATTCTGTGTATGTTTCTAGGCTTGAACCTGATCCATCATCCGGCCTGTCCCTTAAGGCACTCAAACTCGCCCAGTTCTTATACAAAAACAAAATACCTGATATTGTAGAGGGTACCATTAAAAATATGGGTCGTAACAAAGTCTGTGTGGAATTTGTGTCCGCTATCTCAGCGAATAATTTTGTTAACTCCCCAATTGTCAGACAATATAACTATGTGGCAAATATTCCTCGCTTCCAAGTATTTCGTATGGGTGTTGTTAGGGATATCCCTACTGAGTGGACTCTAGAGGAACTAGTATCTGGAATATCTGTCCCTAAGAATTGTGGCGAAGTTGTTCGAGCTAGACGTCTTAATGTTAAGAATAAAAAAGATGGAGTATCCGTTTGGGTCCCATCGAACTCTGTGGTCCTAACTTTTCTAGGACAGAGTCTGCCAGAAATTTTTTTTGTTTTAATGCATCATTGCCAGTGTCGCTTTACCAGTTACCTACCATACAATGTAGGAATTGTTGTCGGTTCGGCCACATTGCCAAACAATGTAGGTCCCAGCCCCGCTGCTATAAATGTGCTCAGCCGCATTCTGGTGACTCCTGCCTGGTTCCTGACTCGGAGATATCTTGTTTTTTATGTCATGGTGGTAGCCATTGTGCTACTGATAACAGATGTCCCGAACATAACAGACAAAAATCCATCAAAAGTGTCATGTCTCAGGAAAACCTCAGCTATATGGAAGCATCAGCTAGATTTCCACAGTTTGCCAAGCGGCTATATTCTGAGGCTGCTGCCAGTCCCAAATCCCCTGCTAATTTCCCTCTAAACCCTCAAACTCATCCATCCATCGTACCTCTCCCATCTGCTTCTCCCTCTAAATCATACAAAAAAACAGTTAACCTTCCCCCTCGCCGTATATCTATGTCTGGGAAGACATATGATATTCATGCCCATAATGCAATTACTCAGTCCCCAACTTCTATCCACCCTAATGGTTGTTGTCTTATCCCCCCTACTGAAACAACTCCTCTTGCTACTCCTAATGAAAATCTTGTACAGCTTCTTCTTTGCTCTTTAATTAATATGCTGTCTAAAATGTCAGATGCCTTACCGTACGACGTTGCATTCTTGTTGAACAACTACTTTCTGTTATCACAAAAAATAATGCTTCCAATGGCTCTCCAGGTCCTACAATGGAACTGTAGGAGTATCCGACGTAACAAACAAGATATCTCTTACTTGATCAATCAACATAAACCTGTTGTTTTTGCAGTTTCCGAAACGTGGTTAAAGCCTGAATTCCATTTTAGAATTCCTGGTTTCTCTTGTCTTAGGGACGATAGAAGTGATGGTTATGCTGGTTGTGCCTTATTGGTCAATAGGAATATTACATTCTCTCTAATCTTATTACCAAACCACTCTCTTGGCTTAAATATAGTGGCCCTTAGAGCTTTTAATGTTTCCTTTGTCTCTGTCTATATTCCCCATCCCAACACAAGCATTCTTCTTGAATTAAAAACAATTCTTTCAACAATCCCCTCCCCTATGATTGTTTTAGGAGACTTTAACTGCCGTCACACTCTATGGGGATCTCACTGTATTGACTCATGCTCCTCTGTCTTACTTGACGTTATGGATGATTGCAACTTGTGCATCCTTAATGATGGATCCGCAACTCGTAGAGTTTCTCCATGCCAAAATATTAGTGTTCCAGATTTAACACTATCTTCTCCTTCCCTAGTCTCCCTCCTATCCTGGTCCCCCCTGCCAAACTCCCTTGGTAGTGATCACTTCCCTATTTTAATCTCATACTCTACTTCATATGTTCCCCAAACCCTACATCCCCTCCTCAAATACAGAGTTTCCCAAGCCAATTGGGAGCAATTTGCAACATCACTAGATCTAAATTTAACCACTCTCCCTCAAACAAATTCCTTTAATTTTCTTGTCCTCTATGACCAATTTATCTCTGCAATTAACTCAGCTGCTGATTGCTCTATTCCCCTCAAACTTCCTTCCAATAAATTGACTGCTTCTCCCCCTTGGTGGGATTCTGAATGTACTGCCAGTGTTAAGAAGCGCAGGGAGGCTGAGAACAAGTTTGCTGCATCCCTTTCTATGTCGGATTTCCTCAATTTTAAAAAAATTGCTGCTAGCACAACCAGACTTCTTTCTGCTAAAAAATCTTTAGGATGGCGTTCATTTTGTGAGTCCTTATCTCCCAAGCCGGCCGGTCACCGTGGGGGAAGTCGACCACCACCCTCCAACAAATCAGCCAACTGAATCCAGTACTAAAAAAACGATACAAAAAGGAAATAGTCTATACCTATGTACGCTAAACACACGAACCTTGAGAACACCGGAAAGCTTGCAAGAGTTAGAATTAGCTATTAAAAGCATCAAGTGGGACATTTTGGGCATAAGCGAGATGCGAAGGTTGGGGGAAGGGATAGAAGAGAGAAGCAACTTTATCATGTATCACAAAGGCGAAATCGCCGGTCAAAGAGGAGTAGGATTTTTGGTAAAGCTAAACCTCAAAAGCCAGATCATTGGATTTGAAGGGATATCAGATAGAATAGCCGCGATTCATATAAATTTACAAAATCCTACGAAAAAATGGACAGTAATCCAAGTCTACTCGCCGACAGAAAAAGCATCAAAAAAGGACATTGACAATTTCTACTATAAACTAAGTGAAGTTACTGAAAAATATTCGGCAAACAATATAGTAGTCATGGGTGATTTCAATGCTCAAGTCGGTGCTAAACTAGCTGGGGAAGAACATATAATAGGGAAATACGGAAGTGGGAAGAGAAGCAAAAACGGAGAGATGTTGGTAGAATTCCTGCTTGAGAAAAACTTAACACTTCTTAATTCCATTTTCCGCAAAAAGCCCAAAAACAAATGAACTTGGATATCTCCAGATGGAAAGACCAGAAACGAAATTGATTACATAATAACCAATAAAGTTAGGTGTTTTAGTGATACGGGAATAGTACAAAACCTAAACTTCAATACAAATCATCGTATGGTACGCAGCTGTCTAAATGAAAATGCAACAAAAAAACCAAGACCAAAAGCAATTCAAATGAACTTCTTACAAGCAATTAGAGAAAAGAGTAACCCAAACGATACCACAGAAGACCTAATGGAAGTAGTTACCTCAGACATGGACCTAAACAAAAAATATAAAATAATAGAAAACAAACTCAGGGAACAGGCAAGAATACAAATAAACAAAAGTCTAAAGTCCCATCATAGCGAAAAAACTTTAAAACTAATTGAAGACAGAAGAAATCTAAAAATGGAAAAGGATAAGAAAGAAAACCAAAAAGAAATCAACAACCTTAGTAAACAGATTCGCGAAAGCATGAGGAAGGACAGGAAATATAGAAGAATCCAAACCCTAGAGAATCACATTAGCAGAACGGGGGGCACGAGAAAAGCGCTCAAGGAACTCCGAGAACAGGGAAAAGAATGGATACCAAAGTTAACAGATAAAAATATGTCATCCACTTCTCGCAGGAAAATCCAAAATATAGCAACAAACTACTACCGCTTACTGTACAAAGAACACAGTGCAAATCAGCCAAAAATACAATTGCCGGATAGAGAATCTAATAGTACACAAAACTGTATGATGGAGGACGCAGAAGTTATACCTGAAATATTAGTATCGGAAGTGGAAAAATCTATAAAAAGTCAAAAAATGGAAAAAGCCTCCGGTCCAGATAAAATCACAAACGAACTCATGAGAGGGACAATTAAAGACCTAAGCCCAATACTAACAAAGCTCTTCAACGAGAGTCTATATACCGGCAGCATTCCAACCCAATGGGCAGAATCTCATATAATACTTCTACACAAGAAAGGTCCAAAAGACGACATAGGAAACTATAGACCCATTTCTCTCATTTCAAAT